GATCAGGTTGGTCAAGCAGGACCTGCCTGTTGTGAAGTCTTTGGAGATACTCAAAATCCAACTGGACGCAGTCCTAGGCAACCTGTTCTGTCTCACCCTGCTTGAGCAGAGGGTTGGAACTAGATGATCTCCAGAGGTCCCTGCCAACCTCAGCCATTCTGCAAGTCTATGATATCCTAGATGACTTGCTACAGCAAGTCGGAACAACAGCGGTAAGCAGGGATGACCTTCTCCCATGTAAGCTAATGGCAGTTGCAAATACTCAAAACATCTGGAAGGGGGAGAGGAAAGGAAAGAGAAAAAAAACCCTGAAGATTATGGCTGCAGCATGGTTCACAAAGATTAACTATCATGTGCAAAGATAGATATTATATGCACAGAGCATCCTTAGGCTGCTAACAAGGCACGTGTCTCTGATGTCAAAGAAAGCAACCTGATCTAGTGGAAGGTGTCCCTGCCCATGGCAGAGCGGTTGGTACTAGATGATATTTAAGGTCCTTTCCAACCCAAACCATTCTGTGATTCTATAATTCTGTAAAGGACAGATGAAAAAAAAATTTAAAAATATAAATACACACGCACACACTATTATTACTCTTGATTTTCTGTTTTTAGCTATGGATCTCAAAGGCATAAACAAAAAGTGAATAAAATAGCTTTCTCTTGTATGGGAAATCAGACACACAAAAAGACAAGGGGTCTGGCGGAAATCTCCGAGTCATTGCCACAACCAAGCACAGAATCTATGATTTCTACTGCAAAAGTTACTCATTCTTCAGAGGTTTGGGTTTTTTTGTGGCAGCTAAACACAGAGAAGGTTAGATCAAGAAATTATTTTGATTGGAAAGAGCTATATTTTCCTCTTATTTAATGACAAGCACCACAGACAGCTGTGGAATACCCAAATGTTTGGGAAGCTTTGAGAATATGCAGATACCAATGCATTTTTAATAAGAGCTATGTTTAACTCGTACACTGCAGACAGCATTTTTTTGTTTTCTTTTTTTTTAAATAAAACTTTCAATACTGTCTTGAGGTCTGAATTTGAATCTTTGATGGAACTTATAAAACTACAAAAGCACTCATGAAATCCTATAAAATCCCTAGAGAAAACAGTTGTCTTTTAAATCCAAGTGGTTTATTACTTGCATTTCATTCAATAAACACCACCTGTTCTTTATTTTTTAGGTGATCATCGTCTTGTCTACTGGCCATAAATATATTAAAATTCTTCTTTGTTTTCCAAAGTAGAACGGAGATAAAGCTGATTAACTCTATACAATGTTTCCATTCTGTCTGGCTTCCAAGGTGCAACACACAATAAATGTAAGCAAACATGATTTGGTTAACAACAATTTCAGGAGGATTTGCTGTTCGTGAATGGAGCCGGACTGGCCAAAGAACTGAGGATTACAGTGGTGAGATGCTACAGATCCTTTCTGGATACGTGACTTCAAGGTACAGGCCATTCAAACGTCATTCCCTCTAAAATGACTTAGAAAGCCTCTAAGTAGCTCCTGCTGCAGTGGTAGTCTGGAGTGTGGACTTCCCTCCACCTGCTCCTCTGCAGTGAGGCACATTGACTATTAACCTCCACCATGAACTGAGGCCAGAGCTAAGAGGCCAGAGGATAAATCACTTACTTCATAGCTCATTACCTAGCCAGGCCTTTTATTTCTGTTTTTAGATAGATGCTGTGGTATTACACGTCATTGTGTTAAGCCTGGCTGAATTTGGGGCAAGAAAACAGAAAAAAAAAAGAATTTTCTTAGTGTAGCAACAAGAAACTTAAAGAACATACAAATGTGTAGGGGTTATTATCATTGGAGTATCTTATTGACACCTTCCACGTCCAATGTGACTCCTTCACACTAGAAGATGTTCAGGCTTCCCTAGGAAGCAAAATAAAACTCAGAGGAAGGAAGAAAGGAAGGACAGAAATGCACATTGATGCCGTTAGTCGCATAAAGACAATTTTACAATCTCCAATTTCACCAGTTCATGCTATGGATCCTGACCAGCCGTGACAGAAGGTTTCACCTGGCTAAGCGTGACTGCTTACACACGGAGCAGAAACCTGGGCTCACTTTTTAAAAATTATCTTTAAAATGTTGAATCTTACAGCTGAAAATAAAACCGTCCGAATAAGCTTGAACTTGATTTCTATACTGGAGAACAGGCAGTGACATGTAAGCCCGGACAATTCTGATCAAGCAGTTACGGTCCTTGCCCGATAGCTGGATCAGGTCTCCAGCGGGAACACAGTCGCAAGGAAAAGCTAGCTTTGTATACTCAACATGCAAGACCTGATACCGCAGGTGTTAAAGGCGTTTTTCAATTACACGATGCAGGTGCTGGAAAAGGAAAGGAACGTCCATTTACAAGCTTTTTACAATGTAAAAATGTGTAAAATCTATGATGGAGCTTTATACTCCATCACAAATTGCAAATTTTAGCATCGCCATCCGCCTTGCCGTAACGATGGCCGGTGGTACCCAGGGCGGTAAAACAGGCCTCAGCGTTGCTTGGCAACCCACCTCCTCAAACTCAAGGAGGGTCCAAAGTTCAAGAAAACCCCAGTACTTCTCTTCCTTGCGGTGCTCGGCCCAGGCGTCTGTAAGCAAAAGCAACGAAGGGGCAGGCAGGTACTTACTCTCGTCGACCTGCGGGTGCTGAACGACGACTTGGAAGAGCAAGCGGAGGATGCCCGGGTTCTGGGCATCCTGATCGCAGCCCTGCAGGGACAGGTTGAAACTGCCAGCGATATTGGCAGGCTGACTGTCGCTCAGCTTGAACACCTCTGGGTTGCTGAGGGAGCCAGGGAGGTAGTACTCCACCCTCTCCTCTTTCCTTTCGCAGTTGGAGAGGCTGTAGTTGTGGAAAAACACGCTTGCTCTCATGTTGGAAGGAATCACAAACTGCCACGTCATGAGCTCATCTTCTGGAAAGCCCAGCGGGTAGTTTGGGGACATCAGGGTGATTGAAGACTCCCCCTTCAAAATGGATTCAATGATGCATAACCCTAAAACATGGGGGGAAAAAACCATACAAGACAAGTTGCAACTAAAGATGACACACTGGCATATGTTAGCACCCCAGCAGCAGAGTATTTTTATTTTGACAGAGAGATGAGATCATCCACTTCAGCTACAGGTTAAGTTATTACAAAACCCTCAGACTAAAACATGTATTTGAGTTGATGGTTTTGTCTTCAATTACAGAAAAGGTAAGGGATATATTAATGCTGTATTTTCAGTTTAGTGGGTTTACCTTTCAAACACATGGACAGAGAGGCCTTTATTTTTTGGAAAGGAAATACCCTAGTTTCTACTTCTGGTCCTGGCTTTACAAAAGCAAACATGCAACCTGACAACTGCTTCTGCTTCTTTGGGTTTCAGGAGACAAAAGATGTGAGCTTTTATACCAGCACAAAGCTCTCTGTCCAAAAACCTCCCAGATCTAGCAAGAGCATGCCAGCAAAGAGCCTCAAATATGCATGATAACACACGAATGCAAACCATGGAGGCTGTGTAAGACGCTTTATGCTTGGATGACTCTTGGCAGCGTGAAGTTGGGTACACAGAGATTACGGTCCTGCTCTAGGACTCCAGCAACGACGGGCAAATGAGAGGAGTGCCAGGAGTTACAAAAACTTGTGTTCTGGAAGCTCGAACCTGGACCAGATCCCTTCTATAAGTGATGGCAACAACTGCAGAACTCAAGTAAATGGCAAGAACATCTCCCAAAGAGGGTTTGTCACGAGATCACAAAGTAACCCACTGATTGCTTTATAATATTCCAGGTATTTTAAGAAGATTATTATACAACGTTTTATGTTACTGTGCAGGTTGAAACAGATAGCTGTATTTGAGCAGGCTCATGTGCCTTCCAGGCACTGTTTCCCCTTTTCCCACCTTCCTCTCCTGAAGAGAGGCATTGGTTTGAGGCTCCAGCAAGTTAAGGAAGCTTTATTTAAAAATAAACAGACCTAACTACACACTGCAACCAGCAAATAACTCTCTTGGCTCATTCTAATTATGCTATCTAGTCTCACTTAGTTGAAAACATAAAAACAACAGAGCAGGTATGTTTAAATTTTAGGAAGTTTGAAGAGATTGAAAATGAGTAATGTGCACCAAAAGCAGCAACACAAGAGTTTTCATAATTATTAACAGATCAAGCTAAGATATTTTGATCCCAGAAGAGCACCAGCTACCAAACTAAAAACCATACAAAAACAGCTTTTAGAAAAGATGAAGTGGAAGGGAATTAGGGGTAGCATCACCAAAACTAGAAGGTTATCTGAGAAGAAATGTTTAAAGAATTCTGCTGCAATCTGCACGAGGCGATTACAGGTGAGGAAACACTATTCTGTACTTACGTTTTATGGAAGCCCTGTTAGCTATGCTGAAGCCCGAGGTGGTGAGAGGCGAGTCCCACGGGAGGTGCAGAGACATGATTACTCCTCCCAGCAGCTTGACACGAGACACCGAGCCGTTCCTGCAGAAGGTGCCAATGTTGACTGTGGCCATATCGATACAGCTGTTGATGTTGTAGCTAACGAAATCTGGGCACGTCTCTCCTGGTTCAATCTGTTTTAGCCACGGGGTAGAAAATTTCAGTTCAAGTCCAGCCTTTGTACTTGCCTTCACATCCCAGATGAAAGTCCTGTTAAGGCGAGGTAGCCCCAGTGGGTAAAGATGAACATCTCCAAAGGGACACGGACCTGACACACAGTCTAAATGCAGAGAGAGAACAGCCATGATACACTAAGGAAAGCATTCAAGTAAACAAGGCATTTCCTCTTTATTGCTATTTTCACAATTTTTAGGTTGCACTTAACTTCTATATGCATTAAAAGACAGTCCTATAACATGGTCACGTGCTATCTCTAAACAGGACTCCTAGCCCACAGAGTAGACAGGATAAACTTGCTTTAGTCAGGATGACTAATAGAAGGGATTCATTGTAGTATTCCCGCCTTGTTTGCTGAAGAATTTAGAAGGCATTTACTGAACAGGGTAGAGAGCTGAATGAGCAGAAGGGCAAAATTCAACATCAGGAGAGTTGGAAATCATGGATCTAGAGAACTGATTTTGTCACATCTCACTCGGAGAATTCCTGGCAAAACATTCATCTTTAAATTTTCCACTGCTTGCCGTGAACTGTATCTTCTTTTCTCTGGTGCCCTGATGAACAACCTGGGGCCCAGATTTTGCAGAAGTGATGACCTGGTGTCCTGATAAACAGCCTGGGGCCCAGATTTTGCAGAAGTGATGAGTAACAACAACTGCCACTGGAGGATTCTGGGAAGAACCTAGAAAACTTTTCTCTGAAAAATCCACCACCACTGCAGGATTCTGGGGAGAACCTAGAAAACTTTTCTCTGAAAAATCCAGACTATTGGTATTTCAAGCTGGACACTAAAAATAAGCATACTTTAATCTATGACTAGGCTCCAACTTAAAAGAAGAAATATCACAAGTGCATCTTACAAATACATGGTGAAATATTGTGAACGTTACTATTTACATGAACCATATGAATAAAACTCCAAAACGTGAGGAGAACTATCCTTGAACACTACCCCAAAAATAGCAAAGATGTTACCAAAGGCTGAATGCCCAATGAAGTTTGGGATCTTGTTGAGAAGTAGCACGTGTTCATGCCATTAAACAGTACATTAACATACATACACCAGGGATAACATACAAAGCAAATGAAGGTTTAGTCCCAACACTTCCAAACGTTCAGTTCGTTAAATGTTCATTAATGTTCATTAAATATAAGGAAACGCGTGCATGTCTTCAATGTTTCTGTTGCCCTTATAGACACAATCAAGCTGTTCAATGAATAATATGGGTAATATATCATTATCAGTGTTCAGAGGCTTTGGAAAGGAAAAAAAGATTCTTTGATGGGTTTATGAACTGTGGGAGAAAAGGGAAGGCAGCAAGGAACTGATGCAACAAACTATCATTTAACTGTTTCCGAAACAGCCAAGTTAACACTAATGCTGCCAGCCATAATACATAAAGACTTCTTTAACTTGTGTAGTTTCAGTAATTCAAGGTTATTTATCAGTGTCCAAAGATGACTTCTACCCAAGATTATAGGGGATACCTTAGTATGGTAATAGGTAAAAAAGGTATGTGGTTTTACTAGAGGAAAATTACCATTGGGAGAAAAATTTTAAAAATGTATCTTACCAATATTTTTCTGAATTTCCATGACGAAATACTTCTCTGGAGTACTACAACTGAAGGCAAAAGTCACGTTCTCCCCAGGCTTTATCTTGAGTTCAGACCTGATGACATTTTTAACACGAATTTGACAGCTTGGTGAAACACCGGGTCTCAGTTTAATCATAACTGTAATGTTGTCCACCGTACGAAGAGAGATCGTAAAGGAAGCTAAGAAAGAAAGATAAATAGACATGTTTTGTTACTAGCATGTACGAGTACCACCAGCCTCTCCACACATCCCCACAGATGCCACATTATCAGAAGGAATATTTGCAGCCACGTTCTCAAAAGTCTCTGGTGTTGGACCTACAGAAAATGCCTCGGCTCTTCCAGTCCTGCACAGACGATACAGAAACATGCTTGCTGCATGTGCCCAGAGAGAAGTATACGTGGAATTTGTGTAGGACCAGTTCTGCTCCAGTTTACCTTCACCGGTGTTATCTATTTCACATTTAAAAAGTAGCTCAGCTGTTCCTTTCAAATTTCTGTTGTCCAGACTTTGGTTTTCGGTTTGTCATGCCCATCATAGAGCCTGCTTCATTTTTGAAGGCACCCATGAAGTTGTGACTCAATTCAGGAAGTTTACTCAGCAGCCAAAGAACAAAGCAACCCTCAACTTAAATTGTACACGACGGTAACAGGTGAATTTCTGGGTATGCCCCAACAATTACTGCAAACCAGACTAGGTACTCCAGCGATACCAAAAGCACGTACCAACAGCCACTTATACATGTGGTTACGGCCCTCTCCCACCTTCCGCACCTTTTACAACTCATTCCCTGAAGGTATAGGACATCCATCAACGTCTCTCAGCGGCACAGAAGGCATCTGTGGCCTGGGACTGTGTGGGCTTGGATACCTCCTCTCCATCCCTGACATGACCACCATAGACTTACGGCTTTTGGGGAATACATAAAAGCCTCAGCAATCTTCACAGATTTCAACCCATCCTCAAACACTATCGAATGCAGGAGCAGCTCTGACAGGAAATACTGGAGCCACAGAATAAACTGGTCGTTGAATAATCTTCTCATATTGAATTGGTAGCAATTTATCAACAAATGGACCAAACTCAACTGTCTTCTAAAGACATACATGCAATATAAGACACGAAGGAGCACCAACTGGACATTCAAGACGACTAGAAAAGTTCTTAAGTTCAGTTTGATGCTTAGCAAAGACTGAGCCCAGCCCTGGCTGAAGCGAGTAAAGTTTGCATTGAAGTCAACCGTATCCCAGCCCCAGGTGAAAATCTGAGGACAGGTCAGTTGGCAAGTTTTCTGCCACTTGTTTTCACTACTTTCCCTTCCTTATTGCACTGTACAGAAGGTACAATCACCGTGTCTATAGCATTTGTGCTTTTAATGTTTATAGGGGGGAAAAAAAAAAATGTATATAAAAAAAAAATCTAGAAATAAGGGTACCCCAAGTTCCATTCAAAAAGGTCTGTTCCTTGAGTGGGACATCACATAGGGCTGCATGACAAAGCTCTGCCCATACGCCAGGTTGGGAATCCTCTTGCTCATTAACCCCAATAAAGAGAGATTTACCCTAGCAAACCCAGCAGCGCAGCACCTTGGGAGAGCCCCTGCAGCCATTCCCATTGCCAGGCAGCGTGCCAGGAAGGTGTGAGAGAACAGCTAGCTCAGAAATGCACATCTGCAGGGCACCCCAGGCTCTACCCAACTGCTTACCAACCCTTGAGCACCTAAGCATCCAGCCTGGCCCACGCCAGCTGCTGTCACCGTGGTGGTGGTAAAGAGGCTGGCCGAAGACCAGAGACCCGGGGGTTCATCTGACGAGGGTTGTGGGGAGCGGGGCCGAGCACACCTTGGGAACCCTGGATTGGCAGAGCCCTCTCGCGGCAGATGAGCACACCAGAGACCCTCAACCAACCTACCCACCCAACTCAAAACTTCAGCCGTCGCAGCTACAGAGAAGCATATAGCATTAGTGACTCAAGTTCCCACAAAATCTGCCTGTCCTATTTTTAAACCTCCCTTTTAAAATCTCCCGATTTTTACAGCAATCTCATGGTTTTGCAGGGCCTGACTTTCACTGCCATGTTTTGCGAAAGCCCTGGGGATCGATCAGTCAGCGCGGGCTATCGTCCTTCCCTGCCACCGGGAACATTGCAGCTCCAGGTGTGCAAACACCAGGCATCAAAATCCCACTGCTAGGGGGAGTAGGGCAGAACAGGGTACTAAAAGAGATACCCCATCGTGCTTTTATTTTAGTTTTGTTGGTCTTGAATCTTTTTTCAGACTTTCCAGCTTTTCTACAAATCTTGAAGTCAAAAGACTTAACAAGCCCTTGAAACTGCCTTACCTATTTGCCACCAGGATCAAAGGCTTTAAATGAAAACCTCAAACACCACGAGGCTTGCCAAATTTCTCCACATACTTGTAATGATGAGTTTACCAATCCTCTATACCATTAGTAAGAACCTGGTCACTTAGTAACTTTCCTACAGCTTTTAAGTGACAGCACAGCCCTCTACCCTGAGGATCTACACTGAATTCCCTCGCCTCTTCCAATGGCTGGCACTATCTGCATTAAAAATACTTTTGCAGAGGTTTTCAATCTGGCTTTTCCCCAAGGGAAGAAGAAGGAAAAAAAAAAAAAAAAAAAAAAGAGATGACCATACAGGCTAGGAACTGCCTCGTGCAATGACCTTCCAAGCACACAGGGGACAATCACAGGGGCAATGTCCGCAGGGTGGGGAAAAGAGTAAAGCAAAGCCAGCAACCAGAGCTGCTCCTCCTCTTGCTTCAGGAGGAAGCAGCTTTCAGAAGAGAAAGTGAAACAACTACTTCCAGCCTAGCCCAGAGTTTTGTTTTCCATACCACTGGACGCCTTTGGGTTTGGGGCGGGGGGGAGGGGAGTATTATTATTTATCGTGCTTAGTGCACAAAATATCCTTTGACCCTGATGGTCATAATCTTTCTGATGTTTATGTCATCCAGATATGAAATGTAATAGCATACCAATAATTAATAGCTACGGACAAAAGAGACTTCTTTCTTGCATGCGGTAATAGTCACGCTTGTCTACAGTTTATAAGTAATGACTGAAAAGTCTGTTCCTCACTTTCTTGTCAAACAGTTATCACTGTTCCTTCTCCCATCCCTGGGACAGCACAACCACACGGCCAACCTGGCAGGACGGAGAAACGCACCAGGGCCACTAACAGCCAGCACTTCTGCACCAAATGCTTGGGCACGGCTCTAAGACCATTTTTAGTCATGAGGATTAAGTTTAAGCATAACCTTAAGCACATGACTAGCTTTAAAACAAAACAAATACACGCCCTGAGCTGAAACCAAGGAACAGAAATTTTGAACGATATTTTGAAATGAGTAAATACTTCCTACAAGAGTCAAAACAAAGCATCGTCTTCCCCAGCCCTTGAAAGCCCTTGAAAAACCTGACTTCGGCTGCCTGGGTTTTTTGCCTCCCACCCCCTTTCCAGACTTCACGACCACGTAGTCACTCATTTGACCTCCCTGCAAGAAAGATGACGTTGGGCAACGGCAGATGAGACGAGGCTCCTGCCTGGGCTGGTGCACGCACACAGCAGCACTGCACACGGGAGAGGCTGACCTGGCTCTCAGCTGCAAGGAAAAGGCATGCAGATACGGACAAAAGAAAGCAACGTTGCCTCTAGTTTTTGTGAAGCCAGCCTCATGAAACTCCACAGATAATCATTTTGGTCAAAGAAATAAGAGCACAGCGCTGTAATGTTAACAGCAGCCAGCTGCTAGAGATGCGCTATCAAATCTCATTTTCGTAGGAAAAATGGAAAAAAAGACTCATGCAGAAAGTATATCCAGTAATCCCAAAGTCACTAAAAATGACTAAAACCCCCGACCAATGCCACACACATGCAGCACAATAGAGAGACTACTTAAAATCACCTTTATTGCAGAGCTTTTATAAATATGAGTGAGTCTGTGACTCACACTGATCTGTCACTGTCTACGATTCCCACTGCACGCCTTTTTATTAGGATTACCAGTAACTGTACACGTTTCTTGTAAAGGAATTTCCACGCCTCGTTAATGCTGCACAGGGATGACACACCGGATAACCAAAGCAACAGAGGAAGCATTGCCAGGCTGGATCTAGTCTCTGTCTACACAACAATGAAATCGTTGGGCTGGAAGATGTCAGAGATGAAGCCTCCAGCCCTGAGCTGGTTCGCAGGCTGACGTAGACATCTGATATCACCCTAAATTTTTTTCCTCTAAGCGATTACAGTTTTGCAGCCTCCCTTGGCTATTTCTTCAACTGCCCCAAACTCAGTCTGTATCTTCCCTGCCACAACTGGATTTCGCTACTGCTTGTTTACGACTGCTCCTTCATGACAGTTGTCTCATCACGGCATCCCGTTATCACTCAGAGCAATGCTCCTCTCTGTGCCAATGCACCTTGGCTAGCTTTTTCTCAACAGTATGACTTTTCCAAACCTTTCATCAATTTTATTGCTCAGAGCTCTCCAACTTGCATTAGAAACAAACTACATAGTGTAAAACAAGTCAGATTACTCCTCAGAGTTTCGCCTAAATTTATCTCCTGTGGTTGCACCCGACACTAACCCCCTAGCAATTTTTAATGTGTATATATAAGTGTCAAAAGGACATTTTTCCTGTACAAGAGGGGGGTGCAACGTAGAAGACAGCTGGAGGGACAGAGAGCATGTGTATGTACGTACAAGGAAGGGACTTGGCAGAACAGCAATTTTTATGGCTATGTACAGTGCCTTGCTAAACAAGGCAGGAGTGAGAACAGAGTCCAACTAGTTTTGGCTAGAGGGCTGCATTTTATTGCAGCAATTTATCCATAAGGATCTATGGATTGTTTCATGACTTCACTGGATGGATTAAAACAATAAAAAAAAAAATCCAGACAGACCAATAAACCAAAGCCCACAAGAGTCCCCAACAAAAAAAAAAACCCGGATATTAATTTACCCCAAAATAACGTACAAAAACTGTTGGTTTGCTCATTCTGGTTAAATCATGGGCTTGTTCCACTTCAGCCATTTTTAATAAAAACCAGTTGGATGGGGCTGACTCAGACACCATTCATGAGCCAGAGGCAGCTGGTGGAGACGGGCTGCTGTAGAAGACGAGTAGCGGCAATGCTCACTCCGGATATGAAGTGCC